GGGGGAGAGGGGATTATAGTTTGATACTAACACCAGGAAAAAGGATGCAGTGAAATGAAAAACTAAAACTACCACTAGGATATTCTCAATGCATTTTTTTTCCCCACTTAAAGTCATGTTGTTTTACCAAAAACTAAGAGAGATAGTGACATCATCTCAGATTGTTTTATACTGCTACTGATGCTTGTTCAATGGTTTTCAGTGCAAATTTACTCCTTTTTTTTTTGCAGTTTGAATCAATCACCAGCTAAAAGTGTAAGTGAACATCTGAGTACTCAGGGCAAATGAAATCCCAGAGGCACATCTCACCTTAACAAGCATTTCCTGAGTTTGGGTGTCATCCTCACTTGTCTCTCTGTCATCACTGGTTTTCTTCAGAGGAAAAGTAAAGAAAAGGTACAGGCACTGCATCAGAGCAGCTGGAAGGCCAGATCCAATGATGTTCCACATAGTTCTCTAAGTAAGGAAAATAAAAATCACCACTCCAGAAGCTGACCAGTTTCCTTTTGTTTCTACCCACTGAGTGTACCCATGGCAGATGAACGAGCTACTTAGGCATTTTATCCTTACAAGTGCTCTAGGGCACACAAGTGTGGCAATCATAGAGCATGGCTGTACTAATCCACTTGGCAGAAGTAAACACACCAGTCATGTGTTGCCATAGCTGTTCCCAGGACTTTCCACTCCTGCTGAGCTACAGCTTTGACAGAGGTACTTACTATGTCCTGCATGAGGAGACCTACAGTTGATAAAGCACACAACCTGCAAACTAACTAGCAGCTAAAAGAGCAGTAAGTCCAGGGGCAGACAGTGCCCCCTTTATCATTAGTTCACAGGACACCCTGCAACTATAGAGGCCTGGGATGCTAAAAGCACGAATTCTCCGTTCTTCCCCTGACCCAGCACAGTAGCAATTTAGCTATAACACCTTTGCTTTTGTAACATATTGAATAACTGCACACACACTTCTAATTATAGCTTTCATAAATGCAAGAGACACTGTTTCTCCACAATGTTTCTCAACACTTAGTTTCTTCCCATCTTCACTACGGCTGTGTACAACTTACAGAGAAGTCCCAGTGTGCCTGCCTGGCACACAATAGTCAAAACAAAAATCAGCAGCAAATTAAACAGAAGAGTGAGGTTTGTGATATGAAGTTTGGTGAGTGTGTGTGCTACAAAAAAAAAAAAATAAAATAGCAATGTCTTAAATTCATGGAAAACACAAACCTCATCAGGAACTTCAGGCTGTGACTAGCTATATATAATTTTATAGAGCTCCTTATGACACAGAACATGTCCACTAGAAGCTGACAGTAAGGTTTTATTTTCATGTATCTGAATAAGGATGAGACAAACTTCTCAGCTCTATGTCAGGGATAAATGCACCCCTGATGCCCATCAGCAGATGCCAGACTGCTGATGCCAGGTTGCATTTAGGATGGCTGTACAAGTAGAGTTTGAAGCATTTCATAGTATTTCACAAAGTGAGAGGCTATCAGGATGGAAAATCCAACCACTGCATTAACAGAAAGATCCTTACTTGTCATCTTTTTGATGTGTAAGCTGGAGTGACAAAGAAAGGTTGACAAGCAGTGATATACCATGGGACCAAAAAAAAGATAAATCAGAGGAACACTAGAAAAAATAGCTGTCTGATGATCAAACCAAAACTGGTACCTGAAAGCACAGGGTGCTTACTTCCCTCTTTTAGAAAAGTCTGGACTATAAACCCAGTGGTGTGTCCTCTATCTCACTGTATACCCTGGGCATGCTGAAGCACAAATCACTGGGGATAAACCAAACATTATGAGACTCAGCTGTTCCACTGTTGAGGCAGCTACCTAGCTTCTCCGAAATAAAAAGTTAAAAAACGAAACAAGACAAAACAATCAAAAAAAAACTTTGTAGTCATTTATCTTACCAAGTCAGTTTGTGAGAGCAGATACACCGATTTCAGGAGCAAACGGCCATCTTCTGCTTCCCCTTTCTCTTGTAGCAATTGCTCCAAAGCCAGACGAGCTTCCTCTGTTACCACAAAAACATTAAACTTTACTTCCTTAATGAAAGATGAAAATATTGTATTGATCATTTCTAAACAGATCAGTTGAATTTAACAAAATTACAGTAGCAGGAGTTCACTGAAGTGGATGGAAGGACATAAAAGGACTTTGATCCAGCATCAGGCTCAGGTTGGTTCATGTAAACTACATGTTTCAAACTGACAAGCTTCACTGGGAATACCAGCTCAGCTCATGAAGTCTGCCAGCTGACCAGTGCAAAGAATGTACAACAGCCACCAGGAAAGCCATGTGTGGCTAGCAGTATTTTTCTTATTAAAGCAAGCTCCTCAATAGTGTTTAACCTACCCTTTCACTGCATAGCTGCAGTGTTATACATTTCCAGCTACAAAAGTTCCAAAACCAAGGTCAGCACAGCATATGAGGCCAGATCGTCGGTGCGATCATCCAAAACCAGTGCTAGCTTACACCTACTGAAATATCTGGCTTGCTACACTCAGCGTTTTCCAGTTCCCCCTTTATTTCCCTCATGGTAAGCACAGAAGACAGCTAAATGACAGCACATTCCCAGAATAAGTGGATCCAGTGGATACAGTATGGGATCATTACCTGCAGGTTTACCATTGAGGTTCCTCTTAATTTCTTTTGTCAGAAGCTTGGAAACCTCACTGGCCAACAGCTGAATGTTGGGGAATATGATTGCTCCAGCAGACTGCTCCCAGGTCTGAAATCCAAGTGTAACTGTTAAGCCTTTCTGGTACAGCATGTCTTTGATAGATTGAGAAGTACTAATAAATATAAATAAACAAACATAAAGCTAACATTCCCATGCAAAATTTCCTCCTCAGCCAGCATAATCCATTAAGCAGTATTTGCCAGACAGGCAGGAGCCTGACACTACAGACACAGAAGTTAACCTAGAATTACCTTTTGAATCATGTAAAGCACCTACTAGAGAGCATTTACATTATTTTCTACATTGAATACAATCAAAACAATGTAAATATTTGTCATAGCCCCTGTGTCACTGATTATTTGTATCAAAAAGCATGCTAGTTCCTTTCGAAATACAACATAAACACACTGTACCCTGAAGAGGTTACAGCTACAGTCGTCCAAGGATTTTTCAGTAGAAATATATCCTTCTCCAAAAACTGGTCTCCCCAAACCCAAAAGTCAGTAATAAACAATACCTGAGTTTTCAATTGAATAAAAATTAAAAATAAAAATTGTATTTTCTCTGTTCAGCAATTCATTGCAGTCTCAGCTACTTAGAGACTGAAATGGGATTGGAACTGCTGCTCTCATGGAGCATTTGCAACAGATTTGTCAAAAAGAAACCATGCTAATACAGGACTACTGCTCCCAGGCAGCAGTATACTCAATAAATTTATAAAAATCACAGAATGAACAAACTAGCAAAATCCTTTAGGTTTTTTGTTGTTGTTTGGAGTTGTGGGGTTGTTGTTGTTGTTGTTTTTTAATACATTCATAAACTTTCCGCCTTTCAATTCTTCTCTATTTCGGGGGGAAAGCAGGGCTTATAAAATCAGCATTTCTTGCTGGACAGAAATAATCTTTGTTGCACACTAAGGAAATAATGGAAAACATGTGGAAAAGAGCTGAAAAATCAGCAGTTTTCTAGTCCAAAAGGCACTGGATGTGATTTTGCAGCAATATGAGTTGCCTAACCCATCTGCCTATGAGGTTAAGTTGCAGGCTGCGTGGCTAGAAATTTACATCATTACAAGCCAGCTTACATCATGAGTACAGCTTGGTGCTAATATAGGAAAAGATGCGTTTCCAAAATGCTGAGATGATGACAGTACATGTTTACCAGATCAGGATTTCTAAACATTTCCTATGCTATAATAAGCACCTCTAAATAGGAAGGTATAGTCCTAAACACATAGCTAGCCAAGGAAAACAAATTTATCAACAAGTTTATAAACAATTTATAACTAAGTTTATTAATTACTTGTTCAAGAATGTACAAGCAATTCAATGCAAAACTGACAAGAGGAACAACAGCAAGACTTAATGGTTCCCTGTTCTGAGTCTGACAAACAGATCCCCTCTCAAATGTTTCTTCGCTTTGATTTTGGGGAAAAAAAAAAGAAATTTAAAAGCAATAAAAAAATCTTCCAGCAGACTAGTACTATCACACCCAATTGGCCTCCAAGAATCAGGTACCATTACTTTTATATAGGACATTCAATGCCACACATATCAATGTACTAGCAATAGTACAGCATTCACCTCTAAATACCAGGCCGATACACCTCTGTCCTCAGAAATCTTGAAAATTTTCTTTACAAAAGTCTCCTCCTTCTACAAGCTCAGAAAAATCAAGCTGTAAGGCCAGATGATGAAAGGAAGGTAACAAAAATAAGAAGACATCTGTTCTCCTAAAATAATTTGGAGCAGACACCCCATAATACTGTCTGCCAAGAAATCAGTGCAACTCTTTGTGAAAGAAGACCCTCTACAAACATTATTGCCTTCCCTACCATTGCTTTCAATTACTTGTTCTTTATCTGCTGGTGGCAGCTTGTGGACAAGCTATTTCTTTCCCCATGGAGTGCCAGTTGTCTGTCAGCAATCAAGCAAGCACCTTTTTACTTCATTTTACTGTATTGAACTCTGGAACAGCACCCAACTCTTTTTTTTCTGGGCTACAAAAGAGTGAAATGCAATTGCAAAGTGTGCCTATCAATTAATTTTCAATCAATCAATAACATTAAAAAACCCAAGATTTTTTTTTTTCAGATTCTGACCATAAATGATTTTCAGAGACCCTCAGTTGCAGGAGCAAGATCCACCAATTCCTCCACTTCTGCTGCAGAAGTGAGGGAAGATCTGTAAAGAACAGAAGAAAGCTGGGCAAACGCAATGACAAGAACCCCACAGCCACTTAAAAATATACAATGTTTGTCATTAAGCTATACCCTTTTTCAGAAAAAAATAGTGATAGACTCCTGCCCCTCTGCCTCAAAGAACACTTCAGAACACTGCCCCTCTGAACACTCTCAGAAAGGACTTCTTGTACTCACTCTTCTGCTAACAAACAGAAAGAGTGGGATAAATTTTAGAAGTACAGAACATATGCAGCAGAGAGCAGTAATTAAAGGTTCATAACAATGCTACCATTGTGCAAATATTTAGCTAGTCCATCTCACTATAGACCAAGTCTCTAATGTTCTCATTTGATTTTATAGATTATCTTCCTGTGGGTCAGACACTAAACTCTAGAATACGCTCTCCTTTAATAACTGACCTAATCAGTTCCATATTAATCTTTGAGCCTATAAAAGATCTGTATCTGGAAGAATATCAACCTGACTCCATTCCAGAATGTTTGCCTTCAGGGAAAACTCAAATAACATGGTATCAATGTAATCTGATTTTCTTTCTTCCTCTTAAGCCTATTTCTACATGTTTAAGATTCTGCCACAAGTTCCCTGCATCTACTGTTGCCATCTGTCCTTCCTATTCCAGGCTTCATGGAGAGATGCTAGCTCAAAAGCCAGCCATGTAATAGAACATTCTGATACTTTCTGAGGGACAAAGAGGAAGATACAGAGGGCACATTAAAATGACTCCCAGCCTAGGTCTGAATCACAAGCAGATGGCTAACAATTTCTTCCTACATCTTTTCCTTCTACATCAAGGAGTATCAGTGAGTAACAAGCCCCCTACACCCCAGGTGGCTCCTCATTCATGCCCTCTCTTTCTAGCCAACTGAGTAAGAGCTAAAGTGCTCAAAGACAAAAAGACAGAGATGCACTGGCATCTGCATGATCAAACAAGGAAAAGAAAAGTAAGAGATGAAAATCCTCCACGGAGGGAGAGGACTTATGCAGAGTCCTCTGTTAAACAGGAGGAAGCAAGGCAGTTTCTGTAAGAACTTCATAATGTGTACAACTCAAACTGAGATGCGTTTCCTCAAGCCAGCTCAGGGGCTTAGCACAAAGCGGAAGGCTGGTACATGAAGGGACTCATATGGGGAAGGACATGATGACTCAAAGCTAAAGGGCCAGATCGTCCACAATGTACTGCTAAATCAATGATGCAAGGCCAAAATGCTCTAGCCACCCATCTGAACCTAAATGCCTACAAAGCACTACAAAGCTTCACTGATACATCTGAGAAAAATGAAGAGGAAGAATCTCTTAGGGCACAAAATCAAGTGTTAAGCTAATGAGACATTCACATCTCCATTCTGAATATATTCTGTAGCCAGAATATCCATTAGGAACTAAAAATCCTCTCTTTGTGAGCACTACTGCAATTCAGGAAATCACCTTCTACAACCCTAAAGCATGTGAAGTTCAGTCCTACAGAAGGGAAACACATGATGGGTATGCGTATGCACAACATCACCAGTCCCTTAGCAATACTCAGCTTGCCTCCTGGGGAATAGCTGTCCTTTGACCAACTGGTACTAAAGTTTATTTCTCACATGTCATGATAAATAAGCAATTTCCTGCTTTACCATCCAATTTTTAATCCCTAAGACTTCTAGATTTTATAGCTTTCATCACCTTTGTTCAGTAACATCTTCCTCAGTCCTTTGACAGTTTCACTTGAAAAAATCAACTTCACATGGAAGGCATTCTTGCTATTCATACTTAGTTAATGACCAGCAAATCTAAAGTTGTTCTATATAACCTATATAATTTCATCTTGCCAAGATGTGCTCCTCCACAGAAAACCATCAGATTATCAGTCCTGATCTGACTTTGAAGAGCATTCTTTGAAGGCTGAGGAAGGAGTGCTGCCCCTTTGCAAAGCCAGAATTTTTGTGACCTTGTAAAGCAGTAGTGAGCTCCCAAGAGTGCCAAGCCTGCCCCAGCACATGTAGTGCCACATGCAGACTGAGAGAGAGATTCATTTCCAGTGACAGGCACGTATGCAGAGCAACAGCTCTTCTGCTCAAATATACCCTTTGGTTCAGGAGGGACACTCTTCTTTGCAAACAAATACAGAAGTTGAAAGGAAGTGGTGAAAAGTGAAAGCTTTGTTCAGTAATGATAAAATATCTGTTGGGCCATTTAGATTAAATGAGAAGGCCACTTCTGAGATTCCAGACTACACACTCACTGCCTTTTCAGACCCTTCGATTCATTTTGCCTGCACTGCCTTGGATCAGGGCAAGTTTGTTACTCAAACACAGCAAACTCTTCACCATAGGCACCACCAGATCCTACTCACAACTTAATTGTTTGCATCACACTGACACCAATGAGTGACCTGTTTCAGTAATGTTAACTGACACCAGCATCTACAGCAATTTCAAAGTCCTGCTCTGCACCGGGACTTACAAGCTTCACAGGTTCATGCTCCATCCAGCTGAGTGAAATGTTTATGACTATCTGGAAGTTATTCCTGCTTTACTCTCATGGACATCGAAGGTTTCATAGCCCTGAGCACAGTGATTTCCCTGCACGCGCAGTTCAAAATGTCCCTCTCACTGCAGAGAATCACTTTTTATGTCCCAGAGTGCTTCCATATAAACAGAGTGATCACGTCATTGACTTTTTTTTTTCCTCATCTACCCACTGACTTCCGTTTAGAAAACCAACTCAGCTAGGAAGGGAACAGATGGATCTGAATTTGGTCACTTAAGAACACTGAAAACTCACAAGTAGAGATGGCTGAAATATGTGATCATTAAACTACGGTTTCATCAAAAATAAACATTTTTTTTTCCTGAAAGACTTACATAGTGAGGGAGTGTAAAAACAGATTGAATACCTATAAATACCCAAGGTAATTCAAGAGAAAAACAATTCTTCTGTACTACAACATGGCCACTGTACATTTAAAGATAGGCCAGGTTTTCTGCTCCTCTCCGTATAAGCTCTGCTATTCTGTCACTGCATGGTCTACTCAAAGAGTTCCCTATATGTTTCACAGGCACTAGCAAACAAAACCAACCCATAAGGCTCCCATTCATTACAGAGCTCTTCCAGTTTCACCTTTCAATATGGCCATCTCAGAAATTGTTGGCTGATGGAAGCTCTAGGGCATGGGGTAGGGCAGCCTGCTACTAAAATATTACAGTTTTCAGCTGTGTCCGTCCCTCACCCACAGTACAACCTTCCTCTCCTCATGCCACAGTTTCCCTGCCTCTAATGCAACTCCTCTCTCAAGCACTAAAATTAGATATCAGCACTGTCATTAACCCAAAAATTCCATCTTAAGACTGTACCTCTGTATTCCCCCTAGCTGGCTGCATGCCACAGCCACATTTTCCCAGACTGAAACAGTGCTCAGCCCCCCACTAAGTAATAAAATAGATGAGGCAGACATGAAGTAACCTCTTCACAGGGTATTCAATTTGAAACATGCCAGTCTCATCAACACATCCCTTGACGCCAAGAACAGAATTTAGCCACTCAGGAAAGTAAAGCAGTGCTCCCACACATGCTTTTCTCATGCTAACATAGCAGGTTACTGAGATGAAAGGAGGACAAGAAACTGTTTCCCCAGGCTCCCAAAGGAATAAAAGTAATTATCATCTAGACAAAGGGATCATGCTCCAATTAACTCCACTGGCAGTTAGGGTGACCACAGAATGGACAGAGCAACAGAAACTCAAATTTATATCCTTGGCATCTGCACCAAAGGCAACAAGGAGAACAAACCTTTAAGAACAGGGGAAGAAAGTCCAACAGTCTTCTCTGTTGCTCCTCTGGGATGAGAAATGGAGCCACTTGCTCATACTCTACAAACTGTCTGCTTAGAGTCTCCCACTGGAGGGTATGGCTCTGGGCTGGCTTGTCCTCGCTGTGTGCAGGCTGTCCCAGCACTTCGGTTTTGTCTCCATCATCAGGGCTTTGCTCCTGCTGTTCTGCTTTGCCAGGTGAATCCTCCAGCTGCCACGTGAGTTCAGCTGCTTTGTCCATGCTGAAATGAGACCTGAAGTTAAAGATAATGTGTTACTTAGAGTTAGCATCATCTCTTACCAGTCATGTCCCATGATATTAGACACTGACAGTTTTAACTATTGGAGCTGGGGAGTTTAGAGGTATGGAAATGCTGGCAGCCACTGACTCTCTTCCAATTCTGATGGCAAAGCACCCTGCTCCTGGACAAGAGCATTACCATCTTGCAATCACATGAATGAGCTCTCTCCCATGAGACGTGTGCATGTGCTACACAACTCATCTGGTCCTTGGCAGGACAAACTGGTAAACCATTCAGGAAGTCTGGATTCCATCCCCAGCTTTGCCACCTAGCCAGATACTCTCCCTATACTTGAGTCACCGCAATTGTAAAACAAGTAGTAACTATTACCATCATCAGATCTGCAACAGAAGAGCACTGCCCAATGGCCAGGTTACACATTTCATTGAGTATGGATGCTAAACTAAGCTGCATGTCTCCGATGCATTCCTCACCTAGAGCGGAGTTGAAGCATTGGATGGAATAGGAGCTGTGTGGAAAAGCCAAGGATTCCCCACATGGGTGTGCTGTCCCAAACAGGCAGCAACATTCAGCTCTTCTGCACTGCAGATGTACAGCTCTGTACAAGAGGTAGGTATTTTTACTACAACATTACCTGTTTTGCTGATCCTGTAAGCTGAAATGGATATGTCTCAATGAAGGAGCAAGGTGCTCCTAGCAGCCTCATTTCCATCAAATTGAACTTACAATGGGTCCATCTTGCACTATAGGTAGAAGAATCCTTCTGGTACCCTCATCTCAACCCCAAGTCCTCTCAACTACTTTACAGCCCTGTTTTCATCCATAGTCTTCTGGCAGGTCATTGACACAGCCTTGAATCCACAGCAACCCTACTCCTTTGCCATAGCCTTCTGTGAGCTCACCCTGCTACCCAGAGCCATAATGACAACACTTACACAATGGAAATCAGGTTTCTCCAGTTTCCATCAAAACCAGCCATAGTCTCTTTGACAGCTGTTCTAGCTGGTCAATAAAAACACCAAAAAGCAAATGTAACTAAAAAACTGAGTCAGATCTGCACTACCAATACATAAACCCCTTAAAATAAATTTTAAAAAAGACTATTATAAGCCTGATTTAGAAATTACGGGCCAACAGTAATATTATATTCAGGATTCTTTTCCTTTGCCATCCATCAGTTATGCAGCCTGCTTACTGCTTGCATCCTGCCCACTCCAAGCCAGATGAACCAGTTTCACTTCCACACTCACACAGTATCTCCATACTGCAGAGATGAATAGGGTGACATTATCTTGTCACTGTGCACCACACCACCTGCAGCAAGCTGACGGTCCCAGCAGACACCTATGCTTGGATGTCAGTACTGATCCTTAACACTACAGCAGAAGGTAACTTACCCTACCACAGTCCATCCTTCGCTAGGAGATCAAGGAATACAAAATTTTGATCAGTCTCTGAGGATGTCAATCTGGAACTTCCTACCTCAATAACATTTTGGTTTTTGCTCCTGTTGTTTTCCTTAATTATCTGTGTTAAGACAACACAGCCCTGTGAGCAGAAACAGTGTGATGACTGTCAGCACAAAGTAAACAGGAAGAATCTCTTCCTCATGACTATGTGGGAGTTACACCCGTCATATGTTATACTTAACCCTGGTATGGGATTTTGGCCCACTTGAGTCATTGTGAAGTTGTACAGTGTTGAGAAAGCCTGGGTACTGTTCTAGGGGCTTTAGTGAGCATAGTTCAGAGTTACTTTTTCAATGAGGTTGCTCTCACATCCCAAATGGCACTATTCTTTTCCTAAGGGAAATCTCTTACCTTGGAAGCTACTCTACTAAGCCCAAATCAATGCTAAGTAACAAGTAACTCACTCCCAGTACCTCCATTGACCTTGGTCATTTGTATAGAGAAGCCCAAAATCCTTTACAGAGGCATTTTACAGATGGGGAAACTGAAGCTTGGAGAGGTGAAATGAAGTGCATACGCTGGCCTCAGGAGGTCACTGACAGACCAATCAATGGCACTGCTCAAACTGAATGGCACTGCAAATGTGTTTACCAATTTTCTCTCTTCCTATTCATAATTTACTTATGAGGCCTTTCTTGCTGGTGGCTCAGCTAAGGCAAGCAGGGCTGTTCACTCAAAAAATTCTCACTCTATGAATCTCTGTAGTGGAAGAATTCTTCCCCTCTCCACAGAAACTATTAAAACCAGGTATGCACACGCAACTTAATTAATGAAGACCTAATTGTAACAGCCTATGTAAGACATTTGAGTGTACATGGAAATCTTCAATCTCCAGAAGTACATGAAAGCAAAATTAGGATCATGATCTGCCTCCTTATTTATTCCAACTGTCTAGACTACAAGAGGCATATTAGACTAAATGTCAGTCCTTTAGTATTAGTCTGTTGCCTCTGCTTGCACTATCTGCTTTAAATATTCCTTCTCCTAAAAGCCTTGCACCTACAATTTCAAATCAGACTTCTAAATCCTTTGTGTTTTCTATTCTTCTTGGAGGATAATTATTTTTCTAGACCAATCACAATATCACAGAGTCCACCATTCAAGTATCTTTGGTACTAAGGATAGCTTAGCTATTTTGAAAAGGTCTTATATGTTGACTGTCTTCTACATCCCACCATTTGTTCTGATCCTCAGTGTAAATTAACAGCTTATTTCGTTTTTGATAAATTATAAATATCACAATGATATAAAAAGTAAAGTCTAAAAAGTAAAGATTTTAAAAGACATGAAAGTGAAAATATATCAAATAAATTTCATGCTATCATTTAGAAAGAAGTGTCAGGTAACAGAGAGGAAGTGGAACTTATTCATGTATTTTCCCTTTTGTTCTAAACGAAGCTTGTGTGAAATCACATTGCAATGTGGCTACGCCTTTTCAGACTGATAAGACAAAAGGGAAGAAAGACCTGACCAAAGCTGACAGAAGGACAAGCAGAACGTTGATACTAAAAGCTTACTGGCTGAACTAGCATAATCTTTTTAAATGACATTTTAATTACATTTATCTGGGACTAACTCCCCCAGCAGTCCAAAGAATGATCCCATACAGCTACAAAAACCCAGTCTGCACCAAGATCAAGAAGTTTACTTCTACATTTAAAGTCATTTGTTGTCAGAGAAAGGTCTCATGCAAAAATGTCAGATATTTGAGTGTACATGGAAATCTTTAATCTCCAAAAGTACATGAAAGCAAAATGAGGACTACAATATTTCTCCTTATTTATTCCAACTGTCCAGATGACAAGAAGCATGTTAAACTACATACAAGACCCTAGCACTAGGACTACCTGCTTTAAATATTCCTTCTCCTAATAGCTTTTTCTTGACTATTAAAAAACAGGATTCCAGTGACTATCAGAAATACACGGCTCACAGCACCCCAAAAATCCACTGTGTGATACCTCTTTGTACTCCCTTCCTTTCCTTGGCAGCCAAGACAAATCTGTTCATTAAACAGTCATGCCAGCCAAACATTTTAAATGCTAAAACCAGGGATTCCACCACCTCCCCAGGAAAGCTGTCTGATGCTCTTCGTGACTCACACCACACTCTGCTCACAGGAGATGACAGTACCTCAGAATGAACTCCGGGCCAGACGCTGTCCAGCTACTACTCTTTTACCTCTGTCCCTCCTAATCACCTCGGTTCTTCCTCTCTGAACTTCCTAAATTATCTACACCTATCAGTTCTACGCCTAGTGATCATACTTGACATATTTCATGTCAAACCTAAAAACACCAGCAAAAAGATTTAAACTTTGATGTCACTCTATTTGTCTTCAACATCCTACCCCCATCCTTTCCAGGTCCATTTAACTGTAAATTCTACGGAGAAGGTATTCTCTTTTCCTAAGTTCTGCCACAGTGCGTTATACAATAGGAGCCTAACCTGGCTGATGGCTTAAAATACAAATGGCTAACAAAATGCAAACAACAGAGGGGTTTTAAAACACTTGTCAGCTTAGAGAAGGTTGAATACTGTTCAAAGAACAAGTCCCATTTCAGTAGGACACGGCCTCTACGTTTTCAGCAATATAATTTCAGCTTGTTTCAAGAAGGTGTGACACTATTACTGCCAAAGGAGTTGCATTCATTTACACTAGGACTTCATTTGTCCAAGCATATTTTTACTTTTTTAGTACATGTAAGTTAGATAAGGCATTTCTGCAGTATAACCTCACAAATCATTAATTCAAACACTTAACTGCATTTCTCTTTATTTTTGTTTGAAGGCCATCTCCGTGCAATCCAAAAGTAGCTATAAAACTGACTTAGGCTCTCCCTCATGTACCCACCCTTCATTTTTTCTGTTTTAAAAAGTAGCTTCTAAATATCTAATTCTTCTCTGACTTGCATGTACCCCTACTGCAGCCAGGAGAGAAGCAGAGATATTGAGTATACTTGCTTTTGAGATGTGGTCCTCCTGGAAGCGAAGTAATGCCCCCGTCTCAGGAGCAAACAGAATGCTTCTGGTCAGTCACGGACAATATAGTTGTAACAAACTCAAAGGAACAAGACCAGGGCAATTCTGATCATCTCAGAACAACAGCTCATTAGATAAGGACATGCAGTTAAACCAAACCTAACAAGTCTCCACTAGCAGCAGCAACAGATATACCCCTTACATCTGCAAACCTATTATCATCCATAGATTAAAGGATACAAGCAAACCACTGATCCTTTTTCCTCCTTGTACTGCAGTTTAGGGTGAACTTTGACTGAAACCTTTGCTGTTTAAAAACAATCCTACCACAACAAACCAGTTGCACATAATACTGCAGTTTCCTGCAACAGTTAACAGTCTGCTCCTGTTGCTTTCACAGCAAATCTCTTGACATACCTGGGCTCCTAGATTCAGCAGCTCCTGTTGCAGTCAGTAATGATATTCAGAGAAATGAGCGTTACTGCATCTGTCCCACTAGGCATCTTGGTGTATGCAGCAGCTCCCACTCTGCTCTTTAAACTTTCCACTGTGAATCACCTGATCAGCTGCTGCTATTTCCTGAGGAAAGCAGAAGTGAAGAGCAAATAGAACCACATGCTCAGGACCCACCAAGCTCCCAAAGCAACTTAGAACAATTCAATTATGCAAAAAGCTAGCAGGCATTGCATGCTTCTCCCTGGGTGAAGATTAACCATGTATTTCACCACCACCACCATATTCACAAAGAAGGTGGTGGTGGGGGGTGTGTTTCATTTTGTTTTTAAATGTAAGGTTTACCAAACTACTACAAGAATACAGCACCACAAAGCTCATGCTCTCTGTGCAACCTCTGCCCAAAGGACAGGCAATGGTTGGAGACCTTCGTCAAATGCAGTACCCTTAAAATAAATATATTTGAATGCTGAGATGAATGCTAAGTCCTTGACCTCTCTACTGAAAGGGTCAAGGCAGCTACTCAGATCAAGAGGCAAACAAGCAGTATAAGCTCAATGACAACATAAAGGATCCTAGATTAGCTATGGTGTTGGGGGAAGACTACTTCTCCGTTGTCTAGTTGCTTTTTTGCTCTCCCTAGTAACACAACTAAAAGGCTTTATAATTGGATTTTAAGGGAAGGTGGAATTTAAACATTTTTACACAGGAAATTCAAGTGTTTCCTAAACTGCTTCTCCCCGAGAATTTTATGGTGACCATGAGAATCAGTGGGATCATGGCCTTTCAGTGACTGAAACCTGAGGGGATCTTACTCTAGGTGGTTATGTCAT